ATCTATCTGTGATGTTTTCCAGGACATTGGATTCAGAGCAAATGATAATTCTCATTGACTGGCATTTTTCTTTTTCAATAGAAACATAATTTGATGACCACCTGCCATCTCCAGCCTTTCCATCTCCATTCCGTTTGCCACCGACTATCAGTAATAGGGAATATTGATAATTTGATCAATTACCTACAAGGCCAGATGACAGTGTATCAAGTATATAATATTGATTGGAAAGTCTCAAGGAATTGAGTTGGGGAATGGGAGAAAGAAAGCTGAAAAGTAAAAAAGGGATTAGAAGTAAAAAGAAAAAGAAGACTGAAAAATATAAAGAAAAGAAAGTGTATATAATAAAGAGAAGAAAGTGAAAGAGGAGAGAAAGAGGAGAAAAAGAAACTGAGAAAGAGGAGAAAAAGAAAAAAAGAGAGGAGGAGAAAAAGAGAAATAGAAAAAGGGAAAAAGGAGAAAAACAAAAAAAAGAAAGAGAAAAAGAAAGCAATTAAAAGAGAAAGAGAAAGTGAGAAAGGGTAAAAGAGAAAAGAGAAAAAGGAGAATGGGAGAAAAAGAAAAGAGAAAAAGAAAGAAAATGAAAGTAAAGAAGGTGTGTATGTAACAAGAAACAGATAAAGGAAAAGAAAGAGAAAGAAAAAGTTAAAGAGAAAACGCAAAGAAGGAGTGTATGTAATAAATAAAGGAGAATGCAGAAAAAGAGACAAAGGAGAAAGAGAAAGAGAGAAAGAAAAAAGAGAGACAAAGAAACAATGGAAGTGAAAAGAAGGCAGAGAAAAAGAAAACAAAAGAGAAAGAGAGAGAGAAAGAAAAAAGAGAAAAGTAAGAATAAAGTAGACAGAGAAACAAAGAAAGTGAAAAGGAGGCAGAGAAAAAGAGAAAAGGAGAAAGAGAAAAGGAGAATGAGAGAAAGAAAAAAGAGAAAAAGAAAGAAAAATAGACATAAAGAAAGAAAAAGAAGACAAAGTAGATAAAGAACCAAAGAAAGTGAAAAAAAAAAAGAGAAAAAGAAAGAGAAAAAAAGAGAAAAGAGAAAGAAAAAAGAAAAAGAAAAAATAGACATAAAAAAGAAAAAGAAGACAAAGTAGATAAAAGAACCAAAGAAAGTGAAAAAAGGAAAAAGAGACAAAGGAGAAAAGAAAAGGAGAAAAAAAAAAAAAAGAGAAAAAGAAAGAAAAATAGACATAAAGAAAGAAAAAGAAGACAAAGTAGATAAAGAACCAAAGAAAGTGAAAAGGAGGCAGAGAAAAAGAGACAAAGGAGAAAGAGAGATAAATAGAGAAAAAAGGAAAGAAAGTAGAAAAAGAAACAAGGAAAGTGAAAAGGAGGCAGAGAAAAGACAAAGAAAGGTAAAAAATGAAAAGGCAACTAAAAACATTTAAAAAGAAAGAGAGAGAGAGAGAAAGGTACATTTTGTAGATAGGTCAGAGAGATTTTGTAATATAATGAGGAGAAATCTTCTGGTGTCATCTTTTAAATGACCCTTCCATACAACAACCTGAAAAAAAAAAAAATAAATTAAAAAAGAAAGACACAAAACACAAACATGTCTATAACCTTCTCAGTGAGTTTTTATTGACTCACATAACAGAGGATGAATCTAATATTCTATTACTTGTTCTGATTCATTCCATTTCTTCTTCTATGTGCTGTACCCTTCAGCGCATAGGCGATCATGGCTCTTCACAACTCCCTGTCCTTTGTAGCTCTTAATAAATCTTATCTGTTCACTATCTCTTGCAAACGCTGCTCTGCCATTTATTCACTCAAGCTCACCAGGTAGGTTATATGTTGCTTCCCTCAGTCCCTTTTGCCTTTGATCTTTCCTGTGAGTATCAGATTTTACAATCCCTCTTTCCTCATTATGTGCTCTAGAAATTTCAACTCTCTTTTATTGATGTTAATTATAAGTGTCCATTTTATTTCCACTGTCTTTAGAACTAACCCATGGTATTCTCAGCATCCTTCTGTAGAACCACATTTCTGTTGCTTCAAGTCTTACATCCTTTTGCATCAATCTATCCGAGATTTTGATGTTGCAACAAAATAACCAAGTTCTTTCCCATGCTCTCATTATTATTAATTTACACTGACCAGCAAAAATGGCAGAGATATTTCAATAAATGTGGTGAGCCATTGTATTTTTTAAAATATTAAAAATAATTCTTTATCTTGTCTAAGTCCAACTAATTTACTCTTGCTGCCAAAAATAAGTGCATTTTCTTAAGTACTTACTTTTATTAGAAAGTTTTCATGTGTGAATCTCTAAATATATTTATCCACTTTTATTAATATGTAGTAATTCTCATGGATCAATTTGGTACTTACTAACAATACAAAATCGATCCCCTATTTTATGTCCTATAAAGAACAAAAGAATGAGTCTTACAGTAATACTAGTTTACCCATGCTGTCGAAAATGGTGGCCTCTTTTGTTAATACCTTTACAATAGGATTTCATATATGAGTCTTGAAATATATTTATTCATTTATATTTACATGTAATTCTGGGGGATCAGTTTATTACTTAATAACAATACAAAATCGATCCCCCATTTTATGTCATATAAAAAACATTAATACTAGTTTACACAAGCTGTTGAAAATGGTGGCCTCTTTTGTTAACACCTTTACAATATTAGGATTTCATATGTGAGTTTTTAAATTTTTCCAATTATATTTATTTGAACATATTTTTAACTCTTTTAATACATTAAAATGTAATTATATTATTATGTAACATAATGAGGATCATATTTATCTTGAAATGTTTCATTAATTGATTAGTTTGCAAAAAGCAAATTATTCAAATAATTTAATATTTGATTGCTCTTAACTTTGTTACAGTCCATTCACACTGGCTGTGTTTCATTTTGTTTGTCACATTGGTTACCATTACAACAATATTTTCTCAAGACAACAAATATTTGTACAAAAATAAAAACAAACATTTTATAGGAATATGAAAATTCAAACGGACAAAGCCATTGAACATTCAAGCCTGGATGTAGTTGTTCAGCACAGAAATCAAATTTCTTATTGATGTTATTCACTGGTTCTCATACAATCACCAGTTAAGCAACGTCTGGTCATTAACTAGATGAGTGACCACTTGGAAATATGAGCTGCTGTAAGCTTAGATGTACAGGGGGTGTTATGGCTCAGAAATGAAAATCAGAGATCACAGTTCCAATTTGTTATATTCATTTACATGCAAATACCTTTGGGAAAGGTATGAATTCATCTCTTATCCCTCAGCTATGGGCTAATTAGTAGGACTTGTTTCAGTAAATAATTATTATCATCAAAAAATTCTTATCACATATATTTTCTGGTTTTAAATAACCTGCAAATGTTTGATAGGCTGTAATAGACAAATCAATCAAACAATATTGATGTTATTTGTCAGTTTGATATGAGAGTGAGAAAGGAGGAGAGAAAACCGACAATTCCACAGACTTAAAATATGATATCAATAGAACACATAATTTCTAAAAGATAGAGATTGTAGTGAATTTTGATAAGGTGTTGAAAACAAGATATTTCTGAGTGTGTTTTTATGTGAAGGTACATTGTAATAGTGAAAGATAATGTCCGAAAGCTAAACAAAAGTATTAAGAAACAGGAAAATTTCCTTTGAAACAAAGGAATGATTGGCAAAGTGTTCTGGAATATCAACCCACCTAAATAGAAGTGAATGCTGGACAATTTCCTCTTTGATGAAGTAGAGACTTGGAGCAACAAAAATATAGTTCTGCAGAATAAATACCATAGACTGACATGAGTAATTTTTTTGAAATTACTAAGAAAGGATTAAATATTAAGTGTATGAAGAGAGAATGTATAGTTATCAGCAAAAGGTACAGACCAATTAAAATGTGAATTAGAAATTGAAGGGAGTAAGATAAAGCAAGAAGAAAGGACTAACCATCAATTGTAAGAAGACAGAATGTATGGTTGTCAGCAAAAGGAACAGACCAATTACAATGTGAATTACAAATTGGAGGGAGGAAAAGAAAGCAAGAAGAAAGGACTAATCATCAATTGTATGAAGACAGAATGTATAGTTGTCAGCAAAAGGAACAGGTGAAAATTCAAACTACGAGTTGAGGACATGGAAATCAAGCAAGTAAAAAAATTTAAATATCTATGAAGCATTTAACAGATGATGAAACATGCAACACTGAAATCTGAAGGTACATTGAAATAGAGAAAAATGCCTTCCAAAAGCTAAGCTATCCTTCTATATGGCAGTTAAAGCTGGAAAATTTCCTCTTAGACAAGGATTCATGAGGCAACAGAAATGTAGTTTTATAGAAAGAGGCTTGGAATATCATAGATGAAGCATGAGCACAATGAGGAAGTTTTCAGTAAAATGGAGATAAAAAAATATATATTTACAGTGTTCACCACAAAAAACATGAAATTTGGTAAAGTTTATTTAATTGTTGGAAATTTTGTTGCAGTGATTTGAAACAAAAGCAAAGGAAATATAGTAACTTAAAACAGAACAAAAATACTAATATTTTCTGGTGTTCAAACTAAAAAAGATAATATTTTTATATGGTAGTTAGCTTTTTTTCCATCATATAGTAAATCTAAAATTTCCTGGTTTTATGTGAGGCACCAAGAGAATGAAAAGAGTTGAAGTTTCTGGGATATATGAGGTAAGAGGGCTCGGAGAATTTGACACTCATAAGACATATTGAATATAAAAAGGACAGAAAGAAAAATTTATTCATTCTCTATGGTTTTCAACTCTTTGCAGGCTATTTGAAGTCAGAAAATATTTTTAGATTATAAAAGTTTTTTTTTTGAGTGATTTAATGATACAAGTCTTACTAATTAACCCATAGCTTGGGGAGAAGAGGTAGATTCATATGTTTCCTGAGGGTACTTGCATGTAAGTGAATATAATGAACCCGACTGGAATTGGGACTCATTTCTCCTGTTAACAATTCCCTGCCATCATCCATTAAACCATTTGTAGATTCAAGCTTACAGCACCCGATATTCTCAAGTGGTCACCCATGAAGGTACTGGCCAGGCTTTACATTGCTTAACTTTGGTGATTATTTGGGAACCAGTGTTTCAACATGATGTGTCCATAAACCACACTAAGGGAAATGGTGAATAACCTACATAACAAGCTTGTACAAATAATTGGTTTCACAGCTCAATGATAAAACTACTACAGAAACCACATCACTTGAGGCCTTTCAACAACAGTAACAACTACAATGGATAGTATATATAACTAGAGAAGATAATGAAAATCAAGGTGTTGATGCTCCACACTACTTCAAACAAAAAGTTAGCAAGGAAACCCCATCAATACTGGAATGAGCAAAAACAGTTACTGAACTTGAGAAACCTATTTTCCTGCTTTATTAAAAAAAAATTTATAAATTAAAACTGAAGTAGCACTGCCTGCTCAGCCAATGAATGACAAATGTTTCCTTATAAGGAAATGGTTAATAATACAGATGAGCATCGCCGTTTGATGCCCAGGGAATGAAGAAAAGTAACTTGAGTAGCACTGCCTGCTTGGTCAATGAATACCAAATGTTTCCTTATAAGAAAACAGTTAATATTACCATTAGAGACTAGGACAACAGATACTACACTCGGATCTTGAATGTTTCCATATATTACCACTAGCCAAATTACCCACACCTTGCTACATTTTTTGTAAGAAAATGATGATTGATTTTAAATCAGTGTTATAATTTGTGGAGAAAAATGATGCATTTCAATATTACTCAATGATCTTGCTGATATGACCTCCATCTTCTGACTTTTTCCTTCTATATTTTAGATAGGAGTCATTCCTTTGTTCAAATTCAAATTTAATTTAAATCAAAAGGAAAAATTCCGTGGTATGTGTGTGTGCAAAAACAGCTTGACCTGACCCCTTTGATATGTATTTGATGCAATACTTGATTGAATGAATTGATATGCAGTTTCAACATTGATATGACAGCTGAATTGTTGCAACAAATATGTATTGTAAAGTACTACCCACTGATTGGTGATTTCTTGCTCAACTTAAAATCCATATTGTCTCATTTTGTTCTTGTTGATATGACCTCCATCTTCTGACTTTCTCCTTCTATATTTTGGATAGTCATTCCCGTGATCAAATTTAAATTTAATTTAAATTCAAAGGGAAAAGATTTAATTGGGGGATTTGTGCCCCTGGGGCCCGCCTTTGATTCAAAATGAAATACACTTATCCAAGTACTCTTCGAGTCATTACATTGTTCAAATTTAAATTTAATTTATATCAAAGGGAAAAAAAAATTTCAGTGGATGGTTTGTGTCTCTCATGAACCCCCTTTGATCAAAATGAAATATACATATACAAGCACCCTGGGTCATGTAGTTTCAGATTGTATATGATTACAGGGGTCTATCTCCAAAACCCTAGGTGGAGTCCGAAAGCAAACAAACAGACAGACAAAAGTTACAATTTATATATATAGATTTCATTTCACATTTAAATATTTTAATACTAATATTACCATTAGAGACAAGGACAACCGATACTACACTTTGATCCTAAATGTTTCCATTAATCATTTCACATTTAAATATTTTTATATTAAAATTACCATTAGAGACTAGGAGAACCGATACTACACTTTGATCCTGAATGTTTCCATTAATCATTTCACATTTAAATATTTTTATATTAAAATTACCATTAGAGACTAGGAGAACCGATACTACACTTTGATCCTGAATGTTTCCATTAATCATTTCACATTTAAATATTTTTATATTAAAATTACCATTAGAGACTAGGACAACCGATACTAAACTTTTGATCCTAAATGTTTCCATTAATCATTTCACATTTAAATATTTTTATATTAAAATTACCATTAGAGACTAGGACAACCGATACTACACTTTGATCCTGAATGTTTCCATTAATCATTTCACATTTAAATATTTTTATATCAAAATTACCATTAGAGACTAGGACAACAGTTACTACACTTTGGTCCTGAATGTTTCTATGTATTACCACTTCATTTTACACTGTCTAATTTCTTGTAGAGTGGAGAAATCCCTTTCTCTCATATTGTTTTTGACATTCACTATTTACAGTTTTTTGCTCAATGTTGTCTTTGTTTCCTGCTGCCATTCTTCAAATGATATCTTCTTAGAGAATCTTTCATGTTTTAGCCTCATTCTTTGATCTGCAGGTTGCCAGTACAAATTCTTCCCAGCTCTATCGGCACTTGCAGTCTCCAAGCCTCCATCTCCATACATTTGCAGCTGGGCAAGTCGACAAGGGTTCATTACACAAAGGCAACATTCTTTCTTGATTGGCTTTGTCTCCACCCATCACCAGTTAGACATCTGCTGTCATTGTTCTTTGATTTCATTGAAACAAAGATTTTTCCCTTTTTCCTTTAGACACAGGATTTGACATCTTAAAATTTCCTTTCAAGAAATGTCTTATTTATTCTTTTTATTGTTTCAGTTGTGTGAAAAGAAAATTTAAATTACTGTTCATGTCAATTTTGTAAAGATTTTTTAAGTAAAAGTGATTAATACAATTTCCTTAACACATTATTTAAAAAGTGCAGCATCGAAAATTGAATACTCACAGAATGTTAACTGGGTCAAAAAATGCCTTGTCAATTTTAATGCCCCCAAAATGAAACTACTCTCTTTTAACAGTCTTAGAGAACCCCTTTTTTTTTGCATTCCAGCAATATAGCCAATGCTAATCCCCAAGAGAGTAAGTCATTGCACTGTTTGGTATAACATTTTTCCACAATTTTTTTTGACATGATGGGGAACAGTTATATCGAATCAATTGCTAGGTCTGCTGACTTATTTCACTATGTGTTAGAAATAAAGTTTCACTGCTGACGCTTGAGTTTGAACATAGATCACCAGTGAGCAAACACAGGCGATCCCATTATTGAATTAAGTGGATCACGTGACCATAGAGAAAATGCACATATAGGAAGTCATGTGATGTCTAGATTGATCGTCATTCGTCTATCCTCTATTACTTTTCTGATCTGCAACTCTTCTCTACTCTATTCCCTATACTATTTCTTTATTTAGATCACCATACAAGTTACTGTTTGAGCGAGTATTATCGAACAAGTTTTACTAGTGCAAGTGCTATTCGAAGGCATCTGACTCCAGCATTGTTCAACTATGTACTATAGTTGTATCTGTAATTACAAAGTCTCTACTAGAAAACAACATCATGCTACACAATTTTTCTCACCAGGATCTATCTAGAACATTTACAAGTCTACCATTTGTCTATACATCGGGTCTGGCTCTTCAGCTATGTATCTAGAGATTCATGACAGAATCCAAAGAAGAATCTGCAAAGTTATCAGTCCTGATCTGGCAACGTTCCTACCACTGTAATGTAGCTTTCCAGTACCTTTTTCCATAACTATTTTAATGGCAACTTTTCTTATGAGCTTTCTTCTTTGATAAGTTGATTTAATAAATTTAAATACAGTACTAGATTGGTAATAAGGTCTCATGATTTTACTTTTGAAGTAGCCAGATGCAGCATAAGCTGTAAGTTCTATTCTTATAGTGTCTTCTCTTGTAAGTCTTGCCTGTGGAATACTCCCTTGGCCTCTTGTTTTCAACTTTAATTACCATCTTCTGTAAGATGCAATTAATTACCATCTTCTGTCTTCTTTCTCATCACTAACATTTTCTCATTTTCTTTCACTCTCAGTAGAGCCTTGCGTCTTTGTGGCTTTATTGCCTTACTTGGGATGAAATGATTTTAAAAAATTGCTGAGCATATTCAGTGTGGTTCCAAAAATATTTATCATCAACCAAAACCTGTGTGACAAAATGGGTCCACAATCAATTGTTTAAAGACACCCATGTAATCAAGTGCACTGTAAATTATTTTATATGGGCTTGGAGTGTTTTGCTTGATGCTATAAGAACAACATGAACAAAATGGTCCATGACAGGACTAATACTAAATAAGAAAATACCAATCTTAATGAGTACTAAGCAAGATAATAAGTAGAGGATGAGTTCCAACTAAGGGAAGTAATGTATATGACATTTGGAGGTAGTCGTTAAATCATAGCATGATAATGGTATGAGTAAGAATATCTGTTTTCATACAAGAAATATAGGAAGTATTTGAACAGTTATCTTCATCATTTTTCAGGTAATTAGACTTTTCATGTCCACTGCATGTTATCAGTCTTTTTAGGATTGATAGGAGTTTCCTTCCTAACCCTTTGTTTAAGGTCATGTAGAAAACCAACCTGTTCATTATATCCTTGCTTCTTAGTGACATTATCACTTTGCTGGAGGTGAAAAGATCCAAAAAATATATCCATTGCATTTTTACAATAAAATCATTTGCACTGGTAATGCTGAGATTAACCATTTCCATACAGGAAATGTTTGACTATTATTGAACAAACAGTTGAAATTTTTAAAATTATTTTCTTAAAACAGCTTTTCAGGGAATTAGACTTTTCATTTCCATGCATATTATCAATGTTTCTAGTATTGATGGGAGTTTCCTTCCTAGCCTTTTGTTTTAGACCATGTGGAAAGTCAACATCTTGATTATATCCTTAGTTTTTGTTCTCGTTACATATGCTATCCATTTCAGTTGTTGCTGCTGTTGAAAGTCTTCTGGTCAAAGATGATTGGAAAGATGAAGGAAATGATGAAAAAATACAAGAAAAGAGTAATAAAAATAAACAAAGGCATGAGTTCATGGATTAGCTTAATTGTCAACACTCATGATGTTTCCAAAGATCCAACTAGTACTACATATTTCTCTTGGTTCTATTGCTAAATTTTAATAAGTCACCATTTTTTGATATTACTAAAACAAAACTAGACATCAGTTGTGAGAAGATAGAATGTATAGTTGTTAGCAAGAGGAACATTCCAAGAGACAAACTACAAATTGGAGACACCGAAATGAAGCAAGTACAAAAATTAACTAGGAAGTGTTTTAACAGAGAATGGAAAATATGACACCAAAATCAAAAGACACATTGAAAAAGTGCTTTCTAGAAGCTAAGCAAAATATAAAGAAACAGAAAAATTATGTTAGA